CACGTGGGCTGCCTGGAGTGGGCTGCCACCTCCTTCCACTGCGACAGGGTGTAGCTGCACGTACCGTCCAAAGTGACACAGGAGAAAATTCATGAGAGTTTTTCAGTTCTCATGAAGGTCTGGCCAGTGAGAGGCAACGGTTCCAGGGGATTCTTGTAATGCAACAGCGGCCTGTAGATTGCTTGCAACAGGAATGGATGAGCTATGACGCTTGACCAGGTCCACGGTGACAACTGGTAGCCAGTTTGGTGGTAGCCAAATCCCCATTCCTTTCTAGGGCGATTGGATGGTCTATGTGAAAAGGACTGGAAGCATCAGCCCACCCATAGCAAACGTCTCAGTGTGCCAAACGCTAGTCTGGGCTCATTCCAGAACTGGGCAAATATTGCAAAAGTGTCCCGGTATAAATGTTGCAATGATTTTGCTCTCTCCCTTCCCCTTCCCCCCTCCCGCCCAGCCCACATAGATTTCCAGTGAAACAGTGAGAGGAAAAGTGAAAACCTGAGACTATTGGGGGAAGCAAATGTTGACTTTCTAATCATGACTGTTCACACAGGACCCCAGATTTAATAATTATGTTCTTCCCAAACAAAGCATGGCCCCAGTCTTTCCACTGGGTGTATTAGTCGAGGCCCCTTAGGAGCAGTATGCCCTATCTGAACAGCTCTGGCTTCACCATTGCATACTTACCACTGCAAAGTAACTGTGAATGGGTGAGGGTGAGATCTATGTGAATAGTGGACTTTTGGGGTCACTGGGCATTCTGAAAACTGTAAAACTATTTTACTGTTGACATTTTTGTAACTTTACAAAAAATAAAAATAAAGGAATTTTCAAAACTAAAGCATTTCAAACAAAAAAAACTTTCATTGCAGGAGTGTCAAAATGCAATGTTTCTTTTTTTCCTTTTTTTGTTTGTTTTTTGTTTTTCAACCAAAACAATTCAGTGAAATCAACATCAATTCACAAAAAGTTTCAGTGTTGCCAAATCTGCATTTTTAATAATTGTTTTTGTTCCACCCAGTTCTAAGTCTGAATCAGAATTATTCTCAGGAATTATTTGGTATCTTAATAGCAAACAAACAATGTGTGGAAATGACAAACTGAGCACACAGTAAAAAGGTGAAGTGCTGTCATGGGTTTATGAATTACTTGTATCAATTAGGCAGTAAGATCTAGTTAATTCTAATCCTGTCAACACAAACAATGAAACATTTAATGTGCCTGGAAGGCTAAATCATTCTTCTGCTAATGTTCCTTATAGTTTAGAGCTGATTAAATATCTGCAAACAATTCCAATACAGTATTATATGGTAAGCAATAAAGCTCAGCTCCATAAAACTTAATTCTGGGGATTAGCCCTGTCAAATTAATATGGCTGTGAGCACCATCTCCTTTGCTCCCACTTATGAGTAGAATTTACTTCAGTGTCGTCCATTGTATCTTAAAGCCACAAACCACCTTGTCTACCAGGAAGCAGAAAGAATGTACGAAGAACACATTGACCTTGTTACTTACAAGAACCATTTACATAGCAAGAGGAAGTGATCAGAAACATTACATTGAACAAACAAGTGGGCAACAAAAACTACTCATAACAGAGCCAATTCCCAGTAACCTGGCTAGTGGAAAGTCCGGACAATTTCCTTGCCGCATGTCGTCCTGCCACCTACAGAACATGACAAGTCCCTCGCATATCATCTTGGTTCCCTCCGGTTCTCTTATCCAAACACAGACCTGGTGTATCCCTGCTTAGCTCTAACAGCCGAGGAGATGCCCGCCGGTGCTATGGCTTAGCAGAGCTTGCAGAGCAAAGGCAAACCTTTCCGATGCCTTTCCCACATTGGGTGTTGTTAAACTCCAACCCAGCCCTCCCATGGTCTGCACTACATGTACTGAAAGGGCAAGAGGACCCTTGACAAGAAAGGGGCTTTCATGCAGCTGCAGTCCTACATGGCTTTGAGAAGACACTGAGCTCCATAGAGGGAGTGTTTCATCTGTTGCTAAAAGGCTCTCACCTGGCGATGGAAATGAGGCTGTACCTGGGTACAGGTATAAACTTCATTCACCAAAGTTTTCTGCCAGAGGGCCAAAGGTTTGACCTGGAGCTTTGTGGCTTACAGGCTTGTTTGCAAAGGGAAAGTTACCGGCAGAGCTATATAATTAAACCAGTATAGCTATACTTGGCCTTTCCCCAGTGCAGACAAGCCCTCGAAGTTCCTGTTTTTCAACCTATTCTGAATGACGGGTGTAATGTGGCCCACTTGTGTGTTAAAGTAATTTCCTCTTGCTAGCCAACAGGCGGGGCCAGAATATGCTATTATTGGTACATTGCGCTGCTGTTTCCTTGCGTGGGCAGGATGGGACGTGTGAGTGGAAGCTCCATTCAGACAAATCCTGGTTTACAAACGCCATTCAGGTGTGCGGACTCAAAGTCATGGATGACTCAGCCACAGCACAAATTTGGGAAAGCATACGGGGTCCAGTTCCACTAAGCTGAAGGAACTAAGAAGATCCGATAAGACTTTCAAAGAAGTGCAGGGAATTCAGGCCAAGTCTGCAACAAAACCTTCTGTGGGCTAGGAGTGGGACGTGTGTCTCTTTTGATAATTAGTGCACTGGTGGACATGCCGGTATTTTCATCTATATAGTAGCCCATTGTCTGTGTGTCTGTAACGCTGACGTACACGGCCCCATTCCCTGGCCATGTACGTCAGTGCCCCGCCCCCCTTCCGCTCCCTCCACCGCTCAGCTGGGCCCCGGCGGGGGAGCAAGCGGCAGCAAGCAGCCGTTTGGGGTCCGCGCTCCCCATCCCAGGAGCACAGACCCCCAAACGACCGCTTGCTGCTGCTTGCTCCCCCGCCTGGGCCCAGCTGAGCTGTGCAGTGCTGGCACCGCTCAACTGGGCCCTGGCGGGAGCGTCGCCCAGCTGGGCCCTGGGCGCCAAGCAGCCATTTTGGGTCCACACTCCCCATGCATGGGGAACACGGACCCCAAACGGCCACTTGCCGCCGCTTGCTCCCCTGCTGGGGCCCAGCTGAGTGGTGCTAGTGCTAGAGCTGCGCCACTCAGCTGAGCCCTGGTGGGACGGGAAGGGGGGCGGGGCACCGACAGGGGAAATTGAAAGACTCCACTTGGACTTTATAGCTTTAGATACCTAACAGTAAGCCCCAACATTTGAAAATGTTGTCCTGAATATTGATATATTACATTGAAATATTGTTCTATAATTTTAGATGTGAAAATGTGTACAACAATCATGTCAAGGTATCTCAACCTTCCAGCACCAATAGATGTATAGACAGCTAACTAGAAAGCTCAGCAGAAAGACCTGTTTTACTTATCTATTATATACATTTAACATCATATATATAGTAGCCCAGTGTCTGTGAGTCTGTAAGGGGAGAGAAAGGCAGGAGGAGGAGGAGAAGAGAAAGGGAGAGTGAGAGGCAGGAGGGGGAGAAGAGAAAGAAAGAGACGGAGAGAGAGGCAGGAGGCGGAGGAGAGCTGAGAGAGAGGGGGGTAGGCAGTAGGAGGAGAGAGAGAGAGAGAGCGCGAGCAAGAGAATATTTTAGCATAGGCCTCCATTTAGTCCTTTTAATGGCAAATGTTCCTAAATCCCCACGACATCTAACTGGACTTAGAGGATCAGAATTAATCCTGGCTGTCAAATGGCAGGGGCTTTCCGTGGATAGTTACAAATGAAACAAAAATGTTATATGTGTTTTGTTTTTTTTAAAGTCAAACAAATGAGTTCCATTTTGGTTTGAATTTCTTCTTGTTGCTGTTACTTTTTTCCCCAACTTGATACAATTTTCAACCAGCTCCATGGCTAATTCCTAAAAGATATAAAGCTGTCACCAAGATGTTCAGAAAGCGATCACATGTTTTTTCAAAGCTTATTCTCTGGAATTTGCCAGTTCCTTCAGACTGGCAGCTAAAATCTTGTTTTCTTGAATATTCGCAGTAAGGGGACACAAAAGGGTGCGGGTACACTTGAAACAATTCATTAAAATGTTGTTTTAAAAGCCTTGTTTAATACGGAGGAGCTATTTGCTTTCTATTGTTTTTTTGAGGGATGCTATTGGCTAGAAAGCCACAGGCCAGAATGCAACATATATTATGAGTCTGGGGTATATTTTCCCAGATTCAAGAAAAGAAAATATATTCCAGATTCATACTATTTGTTCTAATTTTATCAGAGGGTTACAAGAGCCTCTTACAGTAGGACAATAGTTTTTGTTTTGTTTTTTTCTGTAAGGGGTAACCCATCCTCCTGCTTAGATATATCACATTTCAACTTGGTGTCATTTATTTGTGGTCATGGAACTGCAAGACTTACAGTGCTGGGGGAAAAATATTCCGTATGTATCTGCAAAACAAGCACAGTGAAAAGTGGCTAGAGTGTATTCGAGAAGAAACGCATACATTGCTCTCTCGTGGAGACTTTACTTTTGTTCTTTCTACTCAATCCAATGGAAATCTATTTCAGTTACTCTTTTTATGGGAAAGCATATGTAACTCAAATTAGCCCACTGTCAGTCTTCACTTTGCTCTAGTGGCAGGACTACGTAAGTTTCTGGGCCAGTCACTGTGCTCAGGTAATATAGCCAATACTCCTGCTCACGCTGTAGAGATTAATTTGTTTTAGCTCTGGGAAACCGGCTACAGCCACTGCTGTCATTGAAAAGATACAACTCCAAAGCATCACACCATTCCCCTTTCACCACCAGGAACTGCTTGGCACCGGGGCCAGTCCTAACCAATTGGTGGCCCTGGGCGACCGCCCAGCTCGCCTGTAGGGTTGCCAGATGGTTTAAAAAAAAAAATATTGGACACACATTTTTCAAGAAAAAAAATCACCGGGGAAAATTTGTTGAACAAAACATTTTGCTCTGGCAGCAGCCCTTGAAAATGGCAGCCCCGGGCAACTGCCCCGCTCGCCCGCCCCTAAGACCGGCTCTGCTTGGCACTCACCATGTTTGATTTCTTACACAAATTCTGCACTCACAGTGCTCTGGAAATAAATCAACATTTAATATTTTACAATTTTTTAAAAAGTTTTCTGAACAATATTTTACAAGTTAGCACAGACACACAGACTTGCTGATGACCAACATATGTACAGTTCACCCTGAAACGAGTATCTATCATTTTTCAAAAAGCATGGCAGGCCCAAAGTCTTCTATGGGGTTCTACGTTCCTAGGGGTTTTGTGCTTGTTTTCCTTCATCACAGGGCACTTCTGCTCGTCTGTATTTTTGCGAGACCAGCAAAAGCATCAGTGTTTACAACATTAATGGGGCAAGAGATGGGTGGATGCCAAACCCACAGATTACACTGCCGTGTCAGGAGAAGGTGCAGTGATCCACTTCTGGCCTAGCAAAAGGGTAGCTCCCTCCAGCATTTGGAGCAGCGCCTTGCGAGGCAGCAGAGACATGCATGCGTTGGCGTGCTAGGAACAGTGCTGTAAGCCAACCAACACTAATAAATAGCTTTGTGGTGAAAAGTATCAGACCAGGCTGTTCCACCTCATACTGCTTCTGTGGTCAGACTGTACTCACAGCTATTGCACCTTCCTGGCACTTGGCTCCTAGAGCCTCGGAACAAGGAAGAAGGGAGTTAACTGTCCTTCCTGCTGGAAAGAGGTGTTCTCCCAGGGGACCTGGCATCCTGTAACTGCGGAGTCTCTAGTGTTTCTGTCTCCAGGGCCTTCTGCAACAAAGCTGTACTTGCCTCCTTCCCCCCATGAACCATAAGTGCCGTTTCATCGGCACCAGATGGTCACCTCTCCGGGGTGTTTCCAACCCAGCATTCCGTGCCAGGGACATGGCCATGGGAACTTTCACTCAACGGGGGAGCTCGTGCCTCCCCCAGAATTTGTGCTTTCAGAGAGGATGCAGAAGCCGATCTCTCTGGCTCTTCAGCAAATGTACCGCGGTGCCCAGAAGAGCGTACGCTCAGAACCTGCCTATTGCACTAGATCGCTGGCACCCAAGCCATGGCCTGCTAGCCACAGTCAGCTCCTCCTTCACCGTTGTGACTTGGCCTGGGGGGCAAATGAGCCCCCAGACAATTGAGAGATTTGCCCCCTGATCCCAAAGAATTTGCAACATGAAGCGAGATCCCCACATTTAGTTTGGGCGAAACATCACCAAGGCATCGTCAGGAGGTCAGTTGGAAACTCTCCAGCTGTTTAAGGTGACGTGCTACACCCCAGCACGTACAGAGCCCGCTCTCTCTGTATGTCCCCAACACCGCCTAGCGCAGTCTCTGCAGCATCCACGCCAGCTGCCAGGTGATGCCCAGTGCGGATGATCAGGAAAGTGGCATTCCACCCCGCCAACTGCAATGCCACTTGGAGATGACAAAGAGCCCCCTTCCCTCCCCCGGGCACGAACGGCGACAGCTGCCAGAGATCCCCTTCTCGCGGGCATGCTAGACACATTGTGCTAATGCTTCAAGTTGCAAGACAGCTGGGTGCAGGAAGCTCTGGCTCCCCACCCCAAGGAAGTGCAACACGTTTCCTCTTCCGGAGGCTTCTTTTGCAACTGTCGGCATCTGCTGGAGGCACATCTGGTCTGAAGTGGCGTGGGGCCCGGGACGTTCCCCCGGCCTTGCTGGTTCCTCTACGGCAGTGCTCCGCTGAAGGTGGCAATGGGCAAGCACAGAAGAGAACAGAACTCAGGCAGGTCTGGGGGGCAGTTGTCCAAAGGGGATGTTCTCAGTGCGTCCCTGGGCTTGTAGCATGCAGACACCTCACACCTGCAGGTCAAATGAGCAATGGGAGTCAGAGGGCTGGGGCTGCCCGAGGAGAGGCTGGCGAGGCAGTAAGAGTGCTGCCAAGCCATTTTGGTGGCAGGAACCACATACAGCCTCCGAGAAGGGCCCGATTTGCAGACGTGCCCAGTGTCTGCCCCACCAGCCCCTTTAAGGTTGCTCAGGTTGGGCACCCAGAAGTGGAGGCCTCCAAAATCAACAGGCACTTCTGGAAATGAACGCCCCAAAAAGCCAGCCAGCCAGCCAACCAACCACCAAACCCTGCCCCTGAATTTGAATGTGGAACCCTTTTCCCTTTGCATTCTCTGTGTCAAACTTAAATTATTTCCTTTGGCTGTGTCTAGACTGGCAAGTTTTTCCGCAAAATCATCTGCTTTTGTGGAAAACTTGCCAGCTGTCTACACTGGCCGCTTGAATTTCCGCAAGAACACTGACGATTTCATGTAAGATCGTCAGTGCTTCTTGCGGAAATACTGTGCTGCTTCCGTTCGGGCAAAAGCTCTCTTGCACAAATCATTTGCACAAGAGGGCCAGTGTAGACAGCTCAGAACTGTTTTGTGCAAAAAAGCCCTGATGGCAAAAATGGCGACTGGGGCTTTTTTGCGCAAAACCGCATCTAGATTGGCCAGGGATGCTTTTCCGCAAAAAGTGCTTTTGAGGAAAAGCGTCCTGCCAATCTAGACGCTCTTTTCCGCAAATGCTTTTAACGGAAAACTTTTCCATTAAAAGCATTTCCAGAAAATCATGCCAGTGCAGACGTAGCCTTTGTGACTTGCAGCAACATGGAAATTACGATACGAGCTGGGGCATGAGTAGGTGACGAAAAGCTCTGAGTAGCTCGAGAGCTTGTCTCGCTCAGCAACAGACGCTGGTGCAGTAAGAGGTTATGACCTCACCCGGCTTGTCTCTGACACCCTGGGACCCACATGGCTACTACACTGCAAACAATCGATTTAGACGTTCATCGATTGCAAGGCGGAAGGGGCCAGTCAGTCTTCTCATCTGACCTCCTGGCTAACAGCAGGGCGCCATGGTGCAGAATCCACCCTGGGATGGAGGGCTACAGTCCCGCTCCTGCTTCGCTACACTGGTTGCACCCACATGCACATGGCGGTTGTGCATGACCTGCAGCATGGCCCTACAGCCCCGCGTAACACGTCTCGCCACGGGTAAGCAGCACAGTCGGGCCTGGGGGCAGGCGGATCATAGAATCATAGGACTGGAAGGGACCTAGAGGTCATCGAGTCCAGCCCCCCGCCCTCAAGGCAGGACCAAGCTCCGTCTACACCATCCCTGACAGATGTCTATCTAACCTGTTCTTAAATAACTCCAGAGAGGGAGATTCCACCACCTCCCTTGGCAATTTATTCCAATATTTGACCACCCTGACAGTTAGGAATTTTTTCCTAATGTCCAATCTAAACCTCCCCTGCTGCACTTTAAGCCCATTACCCCTTGTCCTGTCCTCAGAAACCAAGAGGAACAAATTTTCGCCTTCCTCCTTGTGACACCCTTTTAGATATTTGAAAACCGCTATCATGTCCCCCCTTAATCTTCTTTTTTCCAAACTAAACAAGCCCAGTTCATGAAGCCTGGCTTCATAGGTCATGTTCTCTAAACCTTTAATCATTCTTGTCGCTCTTCTCTGTACCCTTTCCAATTTCTCCACATCTTTCTTGAAATGTGGCGCCCAGAACTGGACACAGTACTCCAGCTGAGGCCTAACTAGTGCAGAGTAGAGCGGCAGAATGACTTCACGAGTTTTGCTTACAACACACCTGTTGATACAACCTAGAATCATATTTGCTTTTTTTGCAACAGCATCACACTGTTGACTCATATTCAACTTGTAGTCCACTATGACCCCCAGATCCCTTTCCGCCATGCTCCTTCCTAGACAGTCACTTCCCATCTTGTATGTATGGAACTGATTGTTCCTTCCTAAGTGGAGCACTTTGCATTTCTCTTTATTAAACCTCATCCTGTTTACCTCTGACCATTTCTCTAACTTGCTAAGGTCATTTTGAATTATGTCCCTATCCTCCAAAGAAGTTGCAAGCCCACCCAGTTTGGTATCATCTGCAAACTTAATAAGCGTACTCTCTATCCCAATATCTACAATATCAGTCCACTGGGGGCTCACACGGCGCACTGGGGGCCTGTCACATCCAGCGCACGTCACTAGCGGGAGGCCGGCCACAGCGGCAGGGAGACCTGCTGGCCATTTCCTACCTCGTCACGCTCTGCAGGATTTTCTGCTCATCCTGATCCAGGCACACGGCGAAGCTACACTTCAGCCCGACGATCTCCACCATGTCTACTTTGATCTGGGACACACTGATTTGCTGCGGGAGAGAGAAACGCCGCGAGTCAGGCCGAGAATGCGCCAGCCAGCGCCCGGCCGGGATCCCTTTTGCGGCACGGCAGGGATGTCTGCACGCAGAGCTCGCCTGGATGCCCTCGGGCAAGCTCACCTCAAGCTAGCCTCGAGCAGTGGCATGGACTCTCGGGGCCACGCACAAACCCGCTGAACCCAGGAATATGCACTGGGAGCGGCTGGCCCGTGCCACTGCTCGCCGCAGCCCGCACCGCCCCAGCTGCGCTACTGTGCTTAGCGTGCTGGCTCCATTCAAGCTAACCTGAGAGCGCCCATGCAAGCGGGGACGCCTGGCCCAGCTCCAGATATAGACGGCCTTAGTGCTGGGGGAGGGGCAGACCTAGGCAACTCAAGAGGGAGGAAGGCGTGAGCAGGGGCGGGGCCTCAGAGAAGGGGCGGGGCCAGGGGTTCTGGGTCTGAGGTAGATCCTGAATTGCACTTCAATTCAAAAAGCGATCTTGTGCTTCCGGGGCTGGAGACGACTGCTCTAGGATGACAAACGAGACTGAAAGGCCATGCGGGCACAACCGGCCATGCGGTGGGGGCGGGGGGCGTTGCCTACACTCCCACCTCTGCATCCCATCCAAGGGACCCTGACACCTTGCTCACGCCACAGCAGCTCGTCCTCTTCGTGCCAGAGCCCCCAGTTACCAGCAAGGGCCTCTCCTGGGATTCAAACTGCCGACCTCCCTGCTCACTTACGCAGGCTGGGCAAAGGCTCTGACCGCAGGACTGACACCCAGCCAGTCATCCAGCTGGTGTGTGCTGGTGGCACAGAGCGCTCAGACTCCCCCCTCCGGCGGCTACATGACCCATCCGTTTTGGGGCCAAGATTTGCAGAGAGGGGGGCCGGGCACAAGGCCCCTTGGTCACATTCAGGCACCTGCGTGCACACTGCTCCTCGGACGGGCTGAATGCTCGATACATGGATGTCCACAGGAGCGGTGAGGTGTCTCGGCCCCGTGGGCAGACGCAGCACCAAATCCCAGCCCCCAGCACACAACTGCTTGCCCCCCGATTGTTCCCTACAGCTCTGCACCCCGCTGAGATACCACAGTGCTGGCAGTAG